GATGTGCTGCACCAGCGCTCAGGAGGAAGAGATCCACGCATCCAGCAATTATTGTGGCTCTTGCACTGGGAGAGCCACCGCTCTTAACGCACTGCTTGTGATTCTCCAACCTCTATTTCTAAGCTGCCTCATTAACAACCCAGTTCAGGTGTTTCAAGCAACTTTCTTTTTTCGTCCTCACCTACCTCTCGCACCAAGCAATTCGCACACATGTGCTGGGTTGGTTCTTACTTCCCTGAAAGCGCCTTTTGGCTACCAAAGCAACATAAGGGGCCTTCAGTGAGAACCAAGCATTCACATTCAAATCTACGGGGGTCTCTTCCTCTCCATTTCAAGACTGGACTAGAAATGCTGTCTTCTTCCTACTGCTCCTATATACCTAGCACAAAATTTTCAAGGAAGATGACTTGTAACTAATTGACTCAGCTCAAGGCCTTTGCCTTCCTTCCCAGCAGCTGCAAACTGCAGCGGGTACTACAGTATAGCTAACAAATGCCCAGCGATGCTTTACATTGGAACCAGATAATTGCGTGTTTCACCTCTTGCCTGTCCAGATGCATCAGAAGGAAGCTAACAAATTCACTTAGAAATGCAAAAGAGGACAAACACCTGCAGATAGTTCAGCTAGAGGAGAAGTGGCAGCCTCTGTTACGACACAGCAGCACAATTCACAGGTTCTGAAATGTCAGGGTGGGGGAAAGATAAGCTAGATTTGTCATCTTGCAATTCAGTAGCTCCTGCAGTTCACCAGGAAGTACTGCTTTTGAAATATAAGGTATGCCCAGCCCACTCTGGCCAGGCCAGGCAGAGGGAAGATGTGGTGGGGAAACATGGAGAGGTGAAAGGACGTGGCTGAGGGCACACATCAGGCCAGTGTCACGGTCAGGAATACAGTAACCTCTCCTGGTTCCCAGCGCAGTGACTTTGCATTCGACTGTGTGATCTCTCCTCTGCGAAAGGATGAGTGATTTGATGAAGACTTGGAGCCCATTTTGACACCACCCCATGAAAAGCCAGGGCTCAGCTCTGCAGATCCAATCCTCAGACCTCATAGGGGTCCGAGGCATTTGGACAGCCAGTAGCCAAGCTGTAGAGCAAGTCTGCAAATCCTCAGAGTTCCTCATATTCACTCAAAATTAGCACTCATCTGCAAAACCACCTGGGAAAGCGCAGTTTAACACCCTGTGCTATTCATCATTTGCAATTTGCCATCTGCCTCCTCTCCCAGTTAGAACATTATCCTTCAGGGGACAGATGCAATGTGACATGATTTCGGCTGACCGGCACATGCTGTCACGCTCCGGATCCCGCAACCACACGTGTGGACTCTTCCTTTTCACTTTCAACCCAACAGGACTCCTGTTGAGCACCCAGACAGCCCAGCATGAGCCAGAACCTCTGACTGACAGCTTCTTGGGCCAGATACAGACTTTTCCTACTGGTCTGCATGACCCCCAGCATATCAGACCAAATCCTGACCAGTGCCTCCAGGCATTGCTGCACTGCAGTCAATATACACACTACTAATGAACAGCTCTTGGATAACTATTGGCTGAAGTGTAGACACGCAAACCTTTTAGTGATCCCTTGCCAATGATCAATACACGTATAAAAATCAGCTCAGAAATTTTGATAAAAATCAAACCAGGAGAGAGGCTATTCTGTACTGAATAATTTATAGGCACCAGTCTTTCTGCTGTGAAGGCCATAATGAGCAGGAGAAGTTGCAGCTCCAAGTCCTGGAAGGAGTAAGGGGTGCCAAAGAGAAATAAACAAAAAGTGGAAGAAATACTTCACATTTCTGGGGTAAAATATCCCCAAATCAGGAACTTGAGTTGGTTATTGCTAGGCTATGACAAGACCCAGTCGAACCCCCAAGCCCCTGCAAGAGCGGGCACTACTAGAGAAGCTTCATCCAAGAGTCGCCAATGCCAACATCTCAGCTCCTCCCACCAGCGCCTGCAGCAGGGACCTCATCATTACTCATGGTGGCTGGGACCTGTTCGCCCATGTCCTCAACAGCCAGGGGATGGCCCCTGTGCATCTCTAGCCCAAAACAACCACTAATCTGCTGTCTGCCATTGAACAGAAAGGGCAGTGGTTGCATGAGCAAGTATAGTTAAGTCCTTATTGAGGCACCTCAGGGTGCTAAAGATCTGGGCTGAACTGCTGCCTGGCCAGCACGCACAACGAGGCTGCAGAGGAGCAAGGAGCACGCTCATCAAGCCAAACACTCATGAGATGTGGGCAGGCAGGAGCCATCCTGGACTGAGGGGTGGCCCAGCCACCTCGTAATAGTGCAAGCACACTGCCCGGCCACAGGTACACAACAGGAGAGGACAAATTTAGCCCTGGCCTGCTGTGGGGACAAGGCTATGCCACTTCAGGAGGTTGCATGGTATCAGTGGATTTAAGGAATCAGAGCAGCTAGCTTGACCTTTCTACATCGTCATGGCTTTGACTTTTCTCTCTCCTTGGCAGAGCTTGCTAGGCAAGTACAGAGGCATCACAGTGTGTTTCCCACCTGGGCTGGAGGGAGTTTTCTTTAGCATACCCAGGAAAGAAGAGGCCGGGGGACCCCAGGTCCAACCCCAGTGCAGTCCTGGGGCTCTCCCTGGAGCAGGGCACCAAATCCAAACTCTGCCTCGTCATGCATCCCTGCTCTGCACACCAGCCCCTGCCCAAAGCTGTGTCAAGAGGCAAAGTCACCCACCAGGTGGGAACTAATTATCCAAGATTAACTATTAGCACAATTCATTATTAATCAGCCATGTACTGTTAAGCCTCCCGCTTGCTTGTGTCAGCGTGAAGGCTTATCTCCGCACTCCTCAGAGCCACCGCCTAATGCCGTGCCGACCTGACAGCAGGGACGTTTCTGAAAGGGTTGCAAGCAAAACGACGGATCGCTGGCATCGCTCAGCCCTCTCTGCAGGAGGGCTCTATCCTGCCATCGCTTCAGGACAGGCAGGCACTGCGCGAGGGCCACGTAGAGCTGTGATAACCCTTGGCGCAACGAGCCCTGAGGAGCGTTTTCCAGCCGTGGCAGCCCCACGCGCTCGGGGAGGTGGAGGTGGTTTCTATTGCTGGAGCAGAGAGAGGTTAAAAGGCTGGGCAAGAAAACAGCCTCGGGATGAACAGCAAGGCAAGTAGGTCACGCTGGAGCCTCTGTGGCTTGGCTGCTCCTCAAGATAAGCCATTTTGAGGAGGCAGCCTCATTTACAAGCTGCACTTCACAGCAGGTAACCAGAGCACGCGGTTTTGCAGCCAGAATCCAGCTCCCTCGCTCCCAATCCCAGCTAAGAAGGGGAATAGAGTCAGAGCTGTCATTCACCGCTTCCTTCCTCGGTGTCTCAGGGGACACGTCCAAATTCATATAGGAAGGGAGAAGAGATGTCATCAGAGCTAGCGGATGCCTAAGCCCCTGCTACTCCTTAGAAAGGCAAAACATTGCAGGCAGCAATGCAGCCGCTCTCCAGAGTCGCTCACTGAGGGAACATGCTGCAAACCCCCCCGGTAAGATTCAGCCAGCTCCCTCCCATCATTAAATGGCCACCGTGAGGCTCTTCATTAAAAAACACAAACAAGAATCGCACAACAACAACAAAACCCTCCCAGCCATTAACTTCTTTCATCCTCGAGTACACGGATATTATTTAGCACGTCAATTTAGCTCAGCACGCAGCGCAGCCCAGCAATCGCTGTGATGCATGCCTGCCTCTCGGAGAAGCTGCTGCGCTCTGCATTAGGACCAGGATTATTTTTTTTGAGTTAATTAGTCGGGAGCTAATTCTGTTCATTAATTCTGAATGCTGCAGGGGCCGGGCTGGATTTTTTGCATTGTTTTTTCCCTTCCCTTTTCAGCGTGGCTCATTATGCAGCAGATGCTGGCTTAGCGTTGCCCAAAATCTCCTCTGCCCATGAGGCTACTTCAGGCTTTGCTTGATTTATATCCTGTTATCACTTGCATTTGCACTGGCACTTGCCCTCCAACTTAAGATCTCTCTGACAAGGAGAGCAAAGCTCACAAGGTCCTCGCAGCCACCGCCAGGACACCGTGCAACGAGTTTTGGGCAACTCCCAGGGAGGGCCCCCTCGGCAGCCGCTCTCACTTGCCACGGACGC